CATCTTACCTATTTCTGCCACCAAGCAGTAATGGGAGTTATTAATAGAGAAATTTAATGCTCCGAGTGGCACTGCAACTGTCATGGACAGGCGTGTCGCTTACCACCAGTGACTACGCGACTTGTTCATCCCGTCACTTGGTTTCGTAAAAAAGAGAAAATGGCGTAGTGGACCAATATATAATATTTATAAAATAAAACCAATAAAAATATTGCTTTGTCCTTTATTCATTCGCATAAACAAAAAGTCAGACATTTGTAAAATAATCTCGATGAGCTCACAACTACGTGGACTACGATAACTGTAATAGTATGATTTATACTTTGGAATGACATCCTGCTTAATACTATATAAGGTAGGTTAGTGGCGCCGTTAACAAAAAACAGAATAGCAAAAATAAAACGCAATGGTACAATAACGGAAATTGATAGTAGACCACTTCAAACGCGCGTATCATTGTTACATAATCGTATCACAAGAAAACATTGATTCTTTTCAACGACACCATTTCAGCAAAATGAAATAATACAAAAACCGAAAATAAGTCAATAAATAAATTCTGAATTAACAAAAAATAATAATTTCATTGTTACAATTATAACGCTAGAAATTCCATCTGAGATCTATAGCTTATAATAAACTTTGGATAAAAATTAAAATAATTATTGACAATCCATTTCATTTGTACATTTTTACAACGCAAACTCTTCAGCTAAAGCATATAAATGAATTAAATGCGTTTTTTTTAAGTTTGTGACAGCAATGCACCTTAACTTATGAAAAAATATACACATTCGAGATAATACATTTAGATTACAAAATAATACTTTTAAATATTAATTTCAAACGATAATAGACAACAAATACACATTATTGTTTAGGTGGAAGAATTGTTTTATGCCAACCCCAGATTCTCGGCGAGAAAGCCGTCTTTTTTCATCCTTTAGTCGTGTTCACGACTCACCAGCACGCTTGTGCGAAAGAATGTAGACATTGCGGAGAATTTAAGGCTTGCACTGCACTTATAAATTACACGTTATCGGCTCAATATAAAAAACTGCATCATTACAAAAATTTGTATGAAAATAATTACACGACTTACGATTTAAGTGCAAACTTTAGGAATGTGCTCATTATTTGAATATAAGTACAGTCGAACAACTATAATAAAGCTTACACACTGTCTGACGCTTTGAGATTAGTCCGTGTGGCTAGAATTTTATAAAATTACTATACTGTAGTATAGTTATACGTAGCAGAATAGAAAATGTTAGGCCAAGATACAACAGTCTTCACAACAGAGTGGTAATAATTAAAATACATTAATCATTTAAATTTGATATTAAAGTCGACTGGCCATTCTTGAATAGGTCGAATCTATATTTCTACATACTTGGTGCAGATAGTGTAATGACTAGCAATTGTTAATTACATTTGTTCGACTTCTTACTATTACGTTAAGATTCTACGTACATTGCTAGCATCGTGGTTTAAATCTTTCTAAAGATTTTTAATGCCACAAGTATGCACGTAAAAACTTTTGTACATTATTATTATTCAAATTATGTTTTATTGGCAATAATATCACAAATTAACATTATTGTTAACGACTTTAGATTTTATATGAAAATTTTGTCTATTCAATTCATTTTGAGCCATGTTTTTGTCTCAACAGAATAGGTACTCGAAAAGATATGTCTGATAAATAATGAGATTACAAGAACCCATGTTTTGTATGGATACGGCTAAGTATTCAGTCTCTATTCAACTAAACGTTGGCTAGCAAATACCCAGTCGAAAAGTATGTACACTGGTGGATTCCGGCGCATACCGGCGCCGCGGTATCCTTTAATACCGCATAGAAAAAAGGGCTTCGATGCTCCGACATAGGTCTCTAGAGCATTGAAATTTATACCTTATTTCAATTGTTATAGCATAAAATATAAATTGAATATTTCCGTTCACCGGGTTACGCTGGCCCTTATAACATTAGTCGAAATCTGAATTTCCACAAGCATTTATTAAAAAAGAAAATGTCTTGCAAAACATGGAATCTCGTATTATAAAATGTAGACAAAACAGACAACACGACATATTATTCAGAAGCGAAACAACGACAATGATATGTCGACAGATATTCACTACGACGACAGGTTACAAGTATGAGTATGTATGTATATGAATAGACTCCATTATAATGTTTGTGGAAAACTTCTTGGTCATCCAATTTGCGTGTTTAAAAAGCTTGTTTTACACGAAATGTCACGGAATTTCACAAGATTTTAATTGACAATTTATTCATAAACTGGCTTCAATCTCTAGGACACTTGTGTACCTGAAATTTAACCCGTGTCTAATAATTTTGGTAAATGTTATGAATTTTTTTTAATGGTGGATGAAAACACAGTTGCACGTTAGAGACACTATGTGGCTTACCACCAAAGTCTTTAGGTTGCGTGACGGGTTAAATAAACTAGATAGATGCTTATATGACTGTTTTTTTTAATAATATGGCGTTGCGTAGAGCATTTAGCCAATGTCAAAGTTAGGGAAACAAGAATATAGGAAAAACAGAACGGACCGGAATTTGGAATAGGAAAAAGGATGTGGTTTTATAAACTATAATAATATATAAACCTAGGCGATTAACACACTGCATCGCGCCTCGCGACGGTGCGCAGGACGCGGAATCACGCGCGCGGTAGCGGAGACACAGATCTGCGTCAACGCGCGGTTTAATCTGGGCGGGGGCGGCGGTCTAGCGGCCCCGCGCCACTCAAAGTACTCGCTTCGTAGTTGATCGCCGTAGTGATTGCACATGTAGCTGAGATCTTTCTTTGACAAGAATGTTAATAATAAAAAACTCATTCAGGACGCTGCAGTTATACTGTCGATTGTTTTTGTTTATTGAAATAAAAAGACACCGAAGATAACATTCAACTTCATTACGAAGATTTAAGAAAATATGAAGATAATTTTTAAACTACACACGAATGCCAACTGAATCCTTTGATTATTTGTTAGGGAACATCCGAACGACAATTACTGGAATAGACCCAAATTGATTGAAAATCTGCGCGGTAGTGCGGAGCGCAGTGTGCCATACCCTGCGGTTCGCCGCGCCCCACCGCGCGGGGGCGCGGTAAAACCGCGCGGAAAATCGTTGTCAGTGAGTTCGACGGTGCGTGTTTTTCCATACAAACTGAGCTACTACAGTACAACGTTAAAAAACGTAGCTCCGCGCTCCGTCGCGGTTGCTGTTTAAGGAATCTGAGATCCCGTCACTGTCTGGTTTAGAAGAGTTCCTTCTGCCGCGTGTATTCGCTTCGTGATTCGATTATACTGCGGCGGCAACACTGAGGCGGAATAACAGAATACGTCACCGACTTGTAGTTAACCAAAGGCAGTTAGTCGAGTGAGTTAGTTATGTGATCTAACGTTAGAAAGATTGACCAAAAAGTTTTCATTAAAAAACCGTGAATGATATTTTAGCCGTATGTTAACGATACTAAATTAAGTATATTTCGCTTCTTTCTTTAATTTAATTTGCATTTAAATATTTTTAAAACGCTTTTCTTAGATATATCTTTTTAAGAGACCACAATATCATTCACTGTTTTAAAAATGTGTACACATTAAGTAATAAATAAGTGCATTTATGTATATGAAATATGGATGGATATCGTTAACATGAAATTTTGGCTCAGGATATATCAATTCCTTGTCTATATGCTACTAATATTGAGCACTGGTGTTTTTACACTGGTGGCAAAACAGAGCACGTGTTATATTTTATTGCAATTTAAACCTTAAACACAGACAAATATGGACATTTAAAACTATTTTCGCATATCATATTTATTTGTTTGATAAAGGCAATAACAAACATTACAAAAATTGGCCAACATCTAGTTTCCTCGACCGTACAATTCAGTTATTTAAAGGTATCGCTCCATTTTGCGTTCAGTGTAAAACAGCATCAAAATTATTGGTGGAAACACCACAACATGTCTTTTTAAAAGCATCCAATTACACTATATACCAATTCTAAATAAGATTTTATTTTATTAAATTAAAATGTTTTTTTTACTTTAGTGGTTTTTAAAACATTTTTATTTAATAAATTTAAACAGTAATAGACGCGAATTGTCTAAGTTAATGCCACATCTCAACATTATCAGTACGTCAACTTTAATTTAATAAGGTCTTGCATAAACACAATTCTATTTTAAATAATAATAGTTGGATTGATGTTGATCACTTAACCAACATTTTAAACAAAATCCTTCTTTTGTTCACTTGCACAAACTTAAATACGTCTTCAATCAATGCATACATTCATAAGACACTACACTATAAAGGTTTAGGTATTTAATTAAATGTAAACAAACCGTAATTAAGTATTTTATGACTTTACTTTGGTTACTTATTGTAAAATTATAACGAGCTTTTTGGAAATGGTTCTAAATATATGATAATATATATTTTCAGGTAATAGACAGCATTTCGCCTGTTTATAAATATATGATATAAATACAATATTTAATTAAAGATGTTTAATAGCACGTATCACAACTTTCCTACGTTAATTAAATCCAGCCTTTAACAAGATGACAGCTCACGCGGCCAAATTAAAGAGTACAGCAGTAATACGACGTATGAAACTCACTACTTAATATTGTATTTGACCCGTTAACCAAGTGACATCTGAAGTTTATTTTTAGTTAATTGCATAATCCTTTATACTATACTGTCTTTTGCATGGCAAACAAGTCAACCAGTAGACGTACTAAGTTTGCAAATTGTGCAAGTGGACATTTAATCTACCTGTTTAGGGTCAAACGTACACGTTGAAACCTAATTACACTTCCAATCGTGTACAAAATCAACGACGCTTTAAACAGGCAGTGTTAAAAATACGAATGTAATGTAATGAGCGTCTTTCAGTTATTTTTTTTTATATCACTGACTGTGCATCAGGCAGTCAGCCTGCACGTAGGTATTTCTGCGCATGCGAAATTGAACAGAAGAGTAATATTTTAAGATACAATTTCCAATATACCTGTGAAAGGTTTCGACAGTGCAATAAATCTACAAATTCTATCGTATCAACGTGCAAAACTTAACACAATATTCATGCAGAATATTGTAGTACCTTTTTACCAATTACATCATTCAAGTCGTAGTATATATTTTCAAATGAAGTTGACATACTGATAGTGCTGTGTGTACTGTAAGTACTGCTATTAGGCCTAAATTCTGTAAAGCTGATGTCAACTCGGTTAGGATATGTGTGGATTTCATCTTTAGCATTTAAAAATGTAAATTTAATAGGATATATATTTTAAGTACTTCTTCACATAATAATACAGTCCCTCTGTTGACTTAATTTTTGCAATAACCGAGTAAGGCGCACAATTTTACTCAGTTTTCAAGCGTGAACAATTTCCACTTATCGTTGTATGTCTACCTTATTTTATATATGATATTAAGTCTATAATATATGATATTGATAGAACGACATTTGAGTTTAAACTCAAAATATGACGTGCTAACACAAAAAGACGTTATCCTGGAAAATTTGTATGATTCCGGATTTGGACAGTTACTCAAGAGAGGGACTATATGGGCGTCATTTCCACAACGACGACCAGTAACTCAAATATAATTTTTAAATCATAGATTATGATTTAAAAACCAATCTTCTATTTTCAAATAAATTAAAACAGCTAAAAAATCCACACAACGCCCAACCAACGCGCACTACAAGCAAAAAATATTCACACCTGATCATGCCCTATATTCTGCTCAGATTTCTTGCTCACAGAATATATAGGCGGAGAATCCAACTTCCCAGACAACGCTTGAACTCGACTTTTGACAGACTCCATAGGTGCGACGTCAATTTTCGTGTCATCCGATATACTGGAGGACGAAAGTTGGAACTCTGTATTGCCATAGATATGCTGTGGCTCCTTCAAATTACCGTAGAGGTTATAATTATGAATTAATGCAGAAACCCTGTTTGAAGTTGCGGGGAGACTTGAATGTTCTTTGGGAACGTCAATTACACCGACACAGGTTGTAACAGGTTGGTTTATTTTAAAATCCGGCCTCGGTTCTTCCTCTTGACTTGAAGATTGATTGTTGAGCGGGTTTTGTTGGGTTATCGTTTGGTTTTGAGGTGCGAATACCTGTGAAATGTTGACAATTTAGTAATAAAAGATTAAGTAACATTCTGCTATTGTCATCTGTTTTAAAATTAATGATTTAAATACTTACAAAATTAATATATCATTTGAATATTTTATTGTACCAGATGTCTACAACTAGATAATTCCCTGCGTACTCATAGTAACAAGTACCAGAACAACGGAATTCACATCGGGGTACTATGGCATGAGTAAAGAAATGGAATGGAAGCAAAGTTTCAGGAGCGCAAAATTTCTGCCTTATTTTGTAGGGTTGGCATAGGAAATAAAGTGATATAAACAAAGTTTTTATTAACTTTTTATTTTGTACGTACATATGATATAATTTTTTACAAATTACTCACTGAAAAATTTTTTTTTCAATAATTTGTTGTGCCTTTGAATTGAAAAATCTAACAAAGTTCATGTTCATATGCATTCATTGCATTTTTTAATAGCCACGGTGCTACGCAGAGGTCCTAGCTTCGATTCCTGGGCCGGGCGAAATATTTGTATGCCCTTCATTTATTTATCTCGTGAGTTTGGATGTAATTTGAGATTGTGTATGTGTGTGTCCATGGCATCCGGGATACATGGTTTCCCTAATAGCTAAGAGTGTGTGCGATATTTATTATTTATTCAAAACAAACCCAACGCGCGACGGGTTTACACCATGTGTACACCGAGGCTTGTATACAGACGGTATAAACAAGTTTATCTCCGTAAGCAACGAAGCCGCCATTGCTTTGTGCACACGCGCCTCAAGCTCGAAGTAAAGTACCTATCATAGCGCGGTTATATGAAGCCTTATATCTGCTCTGTTTCTTAACTCATATAGTACTACCCAGAACATTCATCATCATCATCATCAAGCCATTTATACATCCAAATCTGGGCAGGGGTCTCCGCTCAGACAAGGGTTTAGACCATAGTCCGCCACGCTGACCCAATGCGGGCTGGACACTTCACAAATTTTCCGAGGGTTGTGAATCTTCTTCGAATTGCAGGTTTCTTCACGATGTTTTCCTTCATTGAAAAGCTCGTGATAAATTTCAAATTAAAATAAAATAGTAAGTTATTAGTCATCACATGTAGTCTACGTCGAAGGTAGACATGACACTTATTAACGCAGAATGGCTTGAGCAGGTCAAAAAAATAGCTTTAAAGTCCACGCAACAAAAGCGTAAAAGACGTTGCGCGTTTCTCATCTGCTCAGGCCAATGACACGAAACGTACGTTTTTTCGCTCTTATCGGATATAAAGCTTTTTCTGACCGGCTCAAGCAGAGTTCGTTCAATAAATATTACGAGACGAGTTCGTCTCAATAAGTATGGTGACACCATGAGATGAAAAACGTTCTAGATTTGTATCGTACCTTACCTGATTCTGTGAGTTAAGATCCACATTCTGACACATCATATTCTGTTTCTGGGTCATGTGACTTTGTTCAATCGGCGTATCGCTGTCGAAGACCTCAGAGTTGAGTGCGGCGCGCCAGTTCACGTTGGGGTAATGCTCTCGAATGCAATCTAACACGTCTAGAAGGTTCTTTGCGTTCATTGCTAGAACGTGCGCTGCGCCTAACATAGATCTGTAAAGATTATGTCTTTGATATAGCACCTAGCTCCTTCCTAATGCGTACAGGAAAATAATGGAATACGTTACCGATATCTATTTTTTTTAGTGCTATTCAAGGTTAGAGTGAATAAATAGGTCTTGGATGTGGTTCAGTACTCACTTCGTGTACTCGTGGTGCAGTGTGGTGCTGTGATATTCGATGGCCAGCCGCATCGCTTCTACCAGGGCCGCCATGTCCTTGCTTAGCATCTGGTGAGCCATCTCCACTTGCCTATATTACAAATATTAACATTATGCGTGTGAGTTTCACGTTTGTTCGTGAGTTCGACTAGCATTGTTCGTGAGTTTGATTCGCATTGTTCGAGAGTTCGACTCGAATTGTTCGTGAGTTCGACTCGCTTTGTTCTTGAGTTCGATTTGCGTTGGTCATGAGTTTAACTCGCATTGTTCATTCGTACGACTAAATATCTCGTGATAAAGGGGTCGATTTACAACCCTGTTGAGTAATCTGCTATTGATATAAAATGTATTCCTCCGATTTTGGTGTCTTCTGGTCATAATTAGTTGAACAAGTTTACATATAATTCATCGTTACAACTCGTTCAATGGTTAAATCATCTTGGTTCACATGGATTATGATGTAATCGGCACACTTATATCCACACATTTCATCCATAACAACACTAATAAAAGTAACTTACAATTTTGACGTAAAATAATTATTTACATCACAAAATAGAACAACAAAACTGTAAATGACGTCCATTCTTTGTAAATTAGATTTATTGTCCAGGCGTAACATTCGCACGAGCTTCACAGTGTTTTTGTGTGAAAGAGATAAACTTACCTCCTTGCCTGTTGCGGAAATGGGACAACAACAAGGTCGACAGTAGCACACAGGTCTCTTAAGTGGTGTCCTACAGCCCTGACTGAAGCCAATATGTCGGGCGGCGCGGCGCCGGCCTGAGCCGCGCTAGCGAGCCTCATTACGCCTCGTACTACGTCTGTTGTGGCCACGTACACGGGGTCATCGGATGAACCTTGCATCTGTATATAAGTACGTATAAAGTTTTTATATCGAGACACGGTGTTCTTTACAATTTTGCTCCTGTAGCGTCTTAGAGCCACATGGTATCTCTAACACGGAGCTGTGTCTCGATCCACTATTTAAAAAAAAATATTAAAAAATTTACAAAAAATAATCGAGATTTGTAAATATTTTAAAATTATAATCTGTAGATAATTTTTGTCTGCAGGTACTGACAAAAAAGTGTATGTCAATCTTTGCTCACAAAACATAATCCACATTCTACTGTCTGTATGACCAGGTCAGAGATGGGGCCCGGGTTTTAACCCGGCACTATGCAGTACTGGATTTAAATCGGGTTAAAACCCATTAACGCCCGAAATTGAGACCGAAAACTATTTACCCTAAATATTTGTTGTAAATCAAGATTTGTTCAAATTTTATTATATTATTAATAATAATTGCTTTCAAATCTAGACAATTCGTTATGCCTTTCTATTGAATCGATTCGCTTGCAAATCGCAATGAATTAAATCGATACAAAAAATTGTTAGGTTGTATGGACTTGAATCGATCTTCGCATCGCGTAATGTGCACCCTTAATGTGGGAATCCACATGATTGCAAGGTGGGTATTGTATGGACTTGTCTCTTTTTTCATCTAAAACCGATTTTTTACATCGAAATTTGTATGTTGAATTATAACAAATTTCGTATTCGCCGTTTCCCCCCACTATTTTAGGCAGAAATGGGTGAACTCGACGCTTTGGGTTAAATGTTAAAAACAGGGTTAAAAACCGGGCGCGTTAAGTAGGTTTTAATCCACTGCCCATCTCTGGGTACATTTATGGTGATGTATCGGATGATTCCTTACCTTAGTATCATTTTGTGTATTATCTTTGGATTTCACTGTATTCGCTGGACTGGCTTCGGAAGAATTAGTCACTGAAAACAAATATTCGCTTGGTGTTACGATGACTACAGATTTACTTACAAACTATCGTTATAATCGCTCGATATGGTCTTTTTTGATGACCAATTGAATGGTATCTTGCGTCATTGTTTCGCGTAAATCATCTAAAATCGCAGAAACATGCCTTATTACGCTGTTTTGGAGAGCAAAAAATGATAGCCGCACCAAAAATATTACTTATTTTAATATACTTTCAATTTTCTCTTTATCGAATTCAGAAAGTCAGATGTTAATAAAATAAAATATGCTTTAAGGCACGTCAGTTGTTTTTTTCTTCCTTGCGTGTAACCGTTTCGAAATATTGGGAAAATAAAAAGAAATCAAAGTGGCAAGAAACATGTGTGTGTGAACATGATTAATGAAACCTTAATTGACGTTATTTTACCTGACTGTGGCTCACTGGTGGTTCTTGCTTCTAGTGCTGGAGCGCCATCTGCTGGCTTCTCAGACTCTGACTCCGTAGACAGCTGCATGTTGGATAACCGCTTCTGGGCCAAGTGTATTTAATTATTTAGAGTAAATCTTACATAAGGTAAATTCTACGTGCGTTCCGTATACAGTAACGTACTTCCAGGCAAACTTAAGGCGAAGTATTTCAACGCGAGCCTAGATTTCAGGAGGTGGGATGTGGAGGGTCGCCTCTCGCGTCTCACTTTCCGCGATGTATAAATTAATATGAATAAAATAAGAATAGGCGGAGAAAATTTGCACGAAAATTTGGCGAATGATAGGGCGGCGGGTGGTGCGGCGTGTTGTTAAACCGTTGGGTAATTTGCAAATTTTGGGTTAAATGTGAATTTAACAGAGTTTCAATTGCAAACCAAAATTTAGCAGCATCTCTGTAGTACTTAAAGAGAAATATCTCCAAATAAAAATTATGTACAAAGTAGACATTTTATTCTTAAATAATTCGGTTTAGACTTTTAGCCTGTTTTCAGGATTTCAATAACGAGATAAAGTATATAGTGTGTAACAAATTAGCACATTCTTTAGACAATATCCTTGGGTGTATCGAATATTTTTTGCAAGTTATTTAATAGTAAATACCATAACCATTTGATCTAATACAGTGTTTCCCAAACATTGTTCTGCCAAAACCCGGTAATTTTCATACTGTTACATACATACATACTTATACACACTTATTGTTAGTAAAAATGTTTTACTAATATTATTTCGGTATCGCCTATTTAGTGCTAAGTATGGACCTGCTGCTTATTTTTTACTAAAGAATCCAAGTTCGCGGAAAATGACGAAAGTTTTATCCGCCTTGTTGAACTGGAGCCAGCAGCTTGATTTTGATTGCCTCTCCCGATCGGAAACTGCGTCTTTTCCGAGTCGAGGCGCATAATTGCGATTCACAACTGACAGATCGGAAACTTTGACATTTCTAATCGGAAAAATAGTTGATTTGACTCACAAAATTGGAAAATATAGTAGGAATCAGGTTCATCTTCTCGCTCAGAAACCCATCTGATTTCAAAACTACCCGAATGGATCCTTCCTTCCGATCGGTACATGGTCGCGACCCACCAAATGGGAAACGCTGATCTAACAAAATGAGAGATCACGTTATAGCGTTTGCCTGGAAGACATTGAACAAGAAGGCCGCTTATAGTACCTGACTCGTTTTGTGTTGTCGGTTATTTCTTTTTTTGCATTGTAACTATTACACGATGTTAAAGTTATACCAATGTAGCGACAACATACCAGGTTTTCTTCCTGCATCTGCAACCACCGCCTGTCTTCTTCGCTCTGGTGCTGCTGCCGCGCCAGCTCAGCCAGAAGGCGGCGCTCCACGGCTGCCTCTGAATCCATTTCTGGACTCTGGTATTGAGAAACACAGGTCAGAATTCGATACCGTCTTTATGTCTTCATCTATTATTATCAATGGTTTTATATATTATGCTTTTCAAGGTCAAGGACAAGACAATGAAATAAGATCTTTTCCAACAGTTTAGTTAAAGAAATAAAATCAGTTACTAAGAGATAGACCATTATGTTTCTTGGTAATCGGATTATATTTCTCGCATTAAAATATTTTAATGTGGAGTACTTTCAAATATTTTAATACTAGAAAAATCATCCGATCTGATGTAATAAGTAATCTTATTGTAACAAAGTTTCTTTTTAACTAATGGCTGTATAGTTCGAACCTTTTATTTTACTTTAAAAGTAAATGTTATTTATTTCTTCCTTGTCTATGATTTTGATAATTTTAGTGGGATTAAATCAGTATGCTAATAATATTGTGTTCAATTAAGACTTTTCTGTAACGCTTTTTTTGCCGCGTAATTTTGCTTATCGAACTGCAGATATCTCAAATTCAGATTTATCTTAGAACTAACATTGTTATGGTCCACTGTTATTTATCAAATGTTAATGCCTTGTACCAGGTTATTGTGGAAATTTTAGTAACACACACTGGACGCTGATTCGTGCAAACGCAAATTTATCTTAATTAAAACTCAGTAAGACTCTTTCCTTATTAGTAAGACATTTAAGTAAGACTACAATTTTATTGTAGTTTAGAGCTGCCAAGTTTATTTGACGCTCATAGACAACACCGTTATTTTAAACGGCCTACTTTTTATTGCTATAACGTGTAGTTAGGAGCTGTCAAAATCTGTCAATTCTAAAATGATTCTAAAATTAAATTTTATGCTTTGTACCATTGACTTACAAATAAATGGACGACGGGTCTAATACAAAAA